GGAAATATTCTACCGAATTACACTCGTGCATCAAAATAAACCTCCTTCCGAGTCTGGATCTCTTTAGATAACACGCTTTCGTGGAAAATTATCGGTAATTTTGATGCACTTGTGTAATTACTTCCGATAAGTATGTCGCCAAGTTGAAATAAAAACTTTAAGGAACTGGATGTGTGTCTAACATTCGCAATAATCACCATCGAGAAAATCAACCAGTTATAAATGAAGCCGCAGAAATAACAGTTTTGGGACACGTAGAACTTGACAACACCCAAAGCACCCGTGGACTGGCTACTTCTTCAGGATTTACATGCTCAACAGTAGAAAGAATTCTGAAAAACAATAAATTTCACCCGTACAAGTTTTGAGTTGTCCCAACGTATAATCAACAATGCAAATCTGTTATTTAATATTTGTTTCTCAGATGAATGTACGTTCTATTTAGATGGTGTTGTAAATAAACATAATTGTCGATATTGGAGTGACTCGAATTCACATTTTTTTCGAAAGGTACACACGCAATATCTTGAAACAACAAATGAAACTTGACGGGTGAGATATGTTAGAAAATTCAATAGAGCCCCATGAATTACCGAAATACAGAAAATGAAGTTAATTGTAATGAAAATTACATTGATTTCCAACAAGATGCCGCACCGCCGCACTATCTGGCGACAGCTTTTGGACAACCGTTTTCCAAATCATTGGATAGGCAGGCGAGGCCTCATCGAGTGGCCGCCGAGACTCTGGACCTAAGTCCTTTAGATTACTTTCTTTGGGGCATTTGAAAAGGTTTTGAATACGAAGCTAGATTCCATTCAACATCTTCATCAGCGCATTACGGCAGAATGTAGACAAATAACTCCAGACATGCAGGAAAATTTGAGGAATAGAGTCAAACAAAATCTTTATTATTTCATGAAAGTAAATGGACACCTCTTTCAGCACTTATCACCACTTTGACCTACCTCTTTATAGCAAATTAATTTTTAATTCAACTTTGATGTGCCTGTAATCTGTAAGTTATTTTTTGTTCTCTTAAAACTTGGAGACTTGGTTTTAATTTTAAAGTAAAGTCTTGTTACCATGAAAACTATATTGATTGTTTTTACGATATAAGCCCTCATTATCACAATTTATAAAATTTTATTATAAACTCAAATAGCTTCACAACGATTGAAGATAGATATAAACTTAATTATACAATAGTTACCAGAAACTTCATGGAGAATATAAAAATTAAAAAAAGAGAAATACGTCTCTCTAGAAATCCAAATTGACTTGGCGAGGCCAGGAGAGTTACAAATAGGGGTGCGACATTTTCGTTGGGCTACCATGTATAAGGAAATAACGTGTTTGGTTCAAGAGTAATATGGGCAGTTTGGATCCTGAGGGCTCTAAGTCCCCAAAGGACACACAAAATGTATTTCTCTCACAAATCGAGGCCGCGAGATGTTTTTAAATATAGATGCAGGAGGGACCTCGTGTATCTGATGTTTATAATTTATTAAAGAATATGAGCTTTGAGGTCGACTGGAAAATATTCACGAGTACAGGAAAAAATTCGTATTAAAGGCAGATAATAAAAATAAACATCTTTAACCTTCGTAATTAGCGGGAAAAAGGAAATGTGCTCAAGTAAGCTCCAGATAAGGATTATAAGTATTGGGTGGCTAGTATACAAGTATAATGACTTCTTTCACTCATGTTACTATAAATGCTACCTATACAGGGTGTAATGTTAGAGGTGGATAAACGGAAGTCAGGTGATTGATGGCCTCAAAACATATCGAATGAACCCCTATATGTGTGGTCATACATTTTATAGTTCAGGAGATATTTGCAATTTTGTGAAATTTTGAAAAAAACGGGATAATGAACTTTCAATCGCAATTTACAACTAAGCAATTAGGTTTAGGGATGTGATTTTTTTTCGAGATAAGCTAAATGGTTAGTTTTAGCAGTGATTAAGTACTTTTTATCAGACCTAATTATAAATCAACGCAAAAATCTTAAATTAATTTTTTTGTGAAAAATTTCTTCCATCCTTCAACTTTGGAGGGAGGTAAAAAAATGAGGTATTTCGTTAGTCATTTTATTGCAAAAGCTATTTCAATCCATGTAGAATAAACCCTGAAAATGTCAGCTTGCTACGATAAGTGCCTCACCTTTAAAAATCTGTATATTTGACGCAGGTGGGTATCAATACATGTGAACAAGAAATTCTATTTTACGAGCTACAGTCCAAACGACTTGATGGATTTTGACATACTATGAGGTACTGTTAGATTCGACCTAGCGGTGCGAGTGATACTGTGTGTATTAACATTTTGTAAAATAAAAATGGCGGATTTCTTACGCAAATAGCCAAATCAGCTTAATGAGCTTGGGCATTCACTTCGGCATTTCAGGTGCGGGAGCGATCAATCTTCGGTCCGATCGCAATTACTAAGTCCAGCGCGGAATTTGAATCTAAAGTTAGGCTTCTGAGTAGAATCATGTCATATTCTTCGGGAGATAATGCAGAAATGCATTACTATTATGTTGCTGCCCTAGGAAATGCTCGAGCAGGTGCTTTATATAGGGGTTTTATAAGGGGATAACCTATTCATCTGAATATACAAATGTCAACCAACTGCGCTAGAAAATTGATGAAGCAAAAATGAAAATTATGGAAAACGCAAATTCATTTCAAAGGCTACAGGACAGTTTTATTAGGTGCCGCTTGTGTATAGAAAATAATGGAGGCCATTTCGAGCATGTTCTTTAAGAAATAGTTAAATCAAATTATCTTCCACATTTGTCAGTAAATCGTCAAACACAATATGTTCTGTACTTTTCCCGAATAACAATTATCACTCCTATTAGAGTTGCAAGAATGATTATACAGTATTCTTCACACCGCGTTGTATACTGTAAGAACATTGGCAAAACCCTCTTAGAACAGCTATACAAGTGGAATGGGCACACCTAATAGGACACTTCAGTCATTTAAGAGGTTGTATAAGGGCTGCAGGTAACAGTTATACAACAAAAGTGTAAGCCTCTTGCAGCCGCTATAGGAAATTTGCGTTAGTGCAAGATTTATGTAGTTTTTGTCAACTATACAACTATTCTGTTACGTGATTCTACTTTATGGCAACCAAACTATTTCTTATGTATTGTATAGACGAAGTGAAGAATATATAACTAACACATTAGTCATCTTTTTTGCTTACATATCGGCCATTGTGAATTTCATACACAGGTATATACGTATAATAAACTTCTGCACTGTGGGCTATTGAATTACTTGTGCATCAAATTTTATTGTGATTGTCGTGCAAAGTAGTTACACAATTTCTACGGGCTTCACATTTGATTCATATTTTAATAATGATCAAAAGTATGTCTAGATTTTTAAGATGGAAAACTGAACTTATCTGCGTTAAATCTTCCACAAATCCTATATTTAGTCACAATTACACTAATGTTTATCACCTTATATATGTAATTTCGAACTGAAACATAATTATTTGATATTAACTAGAGGAATAAATGTTTGCCCAATATGGCGGGTGGTTGTGTATAATCATGGCATCGTCCATGGTTGTCTTTAGTTCATTAGAATATTTTGGTGTTGCCTGCAGGTGTTATACAACAATTTGACAAATGTCTGAAATGCAATACCGACAAAGTCGAATTATTTACCCAGAATTTGTACCAGATCTACATCTTCTGTTTGAACAGTTTATAAAACCTTCTGAACCAATGTGCATGCGATGTTTGTCTTAAAACATTGGTTGTGGCATTTTAACAAAAATATGACAGCAGCAAGTTAGGTTATGGTGAAGTTGTATACCAACATATTTAGCATATCTACAGCCTTTAACAGTTAATAAACAACAGTTGTATAAGTGCTTCCGTTGGGAGCAATTTGTTGGCTAAAGTAGTAAATTTGCACAGCAAAACAACAAGGCTTGGATTTGTTTTATAAACATTACCATGGATGACACAATACAACCATTTTGAGGAACGTGCAAATATGCCGTATAAAATAGTTGTATAAACGTTAATGCAACAGTTAAAGATTTGTCCTATAAGGTGTTGTATAACTATGCTATAAGAATATTATAAAAACCACATTTTAGAGCAAATATGTTGCATAAAGCAAATTTGCATTCCACACAACATTAAACCAGCATTTTGGTGTTTAGGCAACAACAATAGAGAGCTTTTATAGCTAAACGGTTCTTTTATCAAAAGCTTATAGCACTACTTTGCTAGTTGGGTTGTAGGTGGTAAGGATTCTATTGCGTTTTTTACGTTTATCGCAGCACAACAACGAATGTGACATGATTCACTCATCGTCGCAAGCTGAAATTTTCAGGGTTTATTCTACATGGATTGAAATAGTTTTTACAATAAAATGAATGATGAAATACGACTTCAATTTTTTTTACCGCACTCCAAATTTGAGAAATGGAAGAGATTTTTCACATAAAATGAATTTACGATTTTTTGAGTTGATTTCTCATAAGCACTGTTAAAAAGTGACATAACCGTTGCTAAAACTAACCATTTAGCTCATCTCATAAAAAAATCACAGCCCTGCACCTAATGGTTCAGTTTGAGGCCCTCTATCACCTGACCTCCGTTAATCCACTACTAACTTCACACCATGTATATTGCGCTTCATCTGCTCTGACGGATCAAATAACATCCTCCTCAAAGCGTTAACGGTTTCTCGACCTTTAAAAACGAAAACGAGTTTGTCAGTTATATCTTGGCCACACTATACTGTCAATCCAATTCGAAGCTTACCCCAGTTTATTCGACGTGCACCACGATATTGCTCCAGAGATGGAACGCATGAATCCTCGATAAAATAAAGTATTATCACACAGATAACCCTATGCTAGTGATTCAAGCTTCTTTTTCCAAAAACGATACACCAACGGCCAGCAATAGACAAGATAGTCGAAGAGAATGGCTGAATTTCAGATTAATTTCACTTTCAGACGATATCTTATATAGAGTAGATATATCCGGAGGCCTAGCAGAAGAAAAACGATATAACTACGTGCAAATCACGTACACTGTTGCTTATATCTTCATGTTAATCTTCCATGGCGTAATTATAGCAGAAACATTCTATGAGCAGAACCGGACGGATGCCGCTATAACATATATCAGTGGACTGGTGAGCAGCGTTTCGGTAAGTGTAAGAGTGTAAAGCTAACTAACTAGCCGGTAAATAAAATAGACTACTCAAAAAAATTAAGGTAGCAAGAAAAAACCCAAATTTTTAGATGGTTTTTGACAGGTTGTACCTAAACTCTAAAAACAAGCAATTTGTAGCTTGAAGATTCTAGTTGTCAGGTTTTTGAGCCGAAACTTTTTAGGAACGTCGGTTCTCATGCTATTCTAATGCATAGCGCAAGACAATTTTTTTGCTAACCTTTGGCTTTTTCTTTTTAGTCCACCGACTTGAATACATTTTTTTCATATGGATCAGATAGTTTCTTCAGCTTCAACATTCTGTTTTTAAATTTTTGATGCGATCATTTGGCCCGGAGATATCTGGCTTTGAATGAAAAAGGATCATTTTGTCATCGACCACTGATATCTCAGTAACCAGTGATCGCACGGAGAATGTACGGGTATTCCCGAAAACTGGAATAAATTTCCTACGAGACTTCTTTGAGGACTTTTTTGTTTCCTTAATGTTGATTTTAAAAAAAAGTCCAAAGGAGTAAATGTTAGCAATGTTTTGGAAATTCGACTGCATTTTTGGCACTGCTAATGAAAATGCTAATGTTTTTAGTTTTTTATGCCTCATTGTACCGCTAATAACTCTGCTTGACGGCAGATCGATTCATTGTATACTTCCTTCGCCGGACCGACAATTTCCTAAATCCGCCTTTGAGACCCCCCATAAAATATTTCCTAAATCTGTCAGTATTTTTGTCTTTTTAACATTCCACGAATAAAATAATGCAATTTTTCCAGCTGCTTTTTTTAAAATTGATACAATAGTGACAACAAAAGAAGAATTATTTTTCCATTTTCAACCAGATTACAGGATGTTTTGATACAAAATTTTGTTCCCTTGATTTCTTTCAAATTTTGACCAATCGTTCCGGAGAAAACGTACAATGAATCGGTTTGTCGCCGTGCAGACTTGTTAGGGGTACATAGAGGTATGGTATAAAAAGAACTAAAAACATTGGCCTTTTCATTAGCAGTCCCAAAAATGAGGTCGATTTTCCAAAACAAGGCAAACAGTGCCTTTTTGTGACTGTTTAAAATCAACGGTAAGGCAGCAATTTTTTTTCAAAGATTGCAAAAAAGATTTCATGTCCGTAGTCTAAAAGGAAGAAAGCAAAAGTTTTGCAAATTTCTTTTGCCTTATCCATTAGAATTGCATGACAACCGTTACACCTGAAATTTTTCGGTTAAAAAACCTGAAAACTAGAATCTTCAAGCTTCAAACAACTTTTTTTATAGTCTAGATACGACCATTTTTCACCAATATACAGCCTGTCAGAAATCACGCGTGCTGTCAAAACGAACTTGGTTCTATTTGAAAACCTGATATGAAGGAGCCTCATTATAGTTTAAATATTTCCAATCGAAAAACATATTTTTTTTTATTCTTAGCTCATTTTATGGACAGCTAAAAAAAGATTGATTTTTAAAACGTACTTTATATTTTATTTATTTTTTACTTTTTGTATTTATAATGTCAAATAACTAGTTTGATAAATCTACATAAGTTTCATATGTTTTATTAATAGGACTCCATAAAACTTCCACTTTGTATGCATTCGAAAATTTCGTTAGATATAATCATATAATAATAAATCTATATCTTGCGGCGATTGCTATAGTGGATCTAGAATGACATCGCGTTGCTTGCTATGATTATCTCATAAGCCTTCTAATTTAACACCTATATCTTAGGGCTGATTATGATAATTAGAAACGTAAGTTATGCTGGGGTAGTCCCCATGTTGGATTTGGAACGATTTTGCTTATTGCGTTCCTCTCTATATTGGATTCAGAATGATCAACAAACATGCATAATAACAACCAGCTCCAGTTAAATAATAGCTTGCAATAAAACAGGAACTGTATCACGAGGACCACTTCCTGAGGTAACGGGGAGATGGAAAGGAAACCTCAGTGGGCTGGTCTTAGACGATCAACGGCGCTACTTTAAAAAAGGAAAGAATACTGCAGGCGCGTACCGGGGTAAATTTCCATAACAGAGTCGATTGGCAGTCTGGGTCTAAAAATCCCCATTATAAATATGCGAATCTAATCTTCCCCACTGTCGGCAGTTGCAGATGTGCTAGCTCTCGGTGTCAAAGCTATAACGCAGGCACCGACTTTTTCAAATCGTGAGCACATTATTCGTCGGATTTTCGTAACTCAAATTTCCTGTAATTACTGGGTTCAGAAGCTTTTTAATAATAGAACGTTTGACATATCAAAGATGCAAAATTTAATACCACCTTCCTCTAACCCCCACTTTTTAAGCACTACAATCTATTATGACAATGATTAGGAACCCCTGAGACATCTAAGATGGAGTTTCAGCGACTGTTATTCTTTCTGCCTATAGCGCTCCCGCTACTGGACTGAGACTGTGTTGAAATTTCATAAAAATAATTTCCAAGTTATAGACGGGCAAAGGATTAGCAGACAGACAGACGGAAATGAGTGGATATAGTTTTTCGTGATGTAGATATCATATATGACCTAAACAACGTAACATCTTACTTTCGAAATCTTTCGCGTCACTGGCGTGCGAAGTAAGACGGCTTTAAGATGGAGGAGTTAGAATTTTTAATTTGCCGAAGCAGCCTAAACGTCAGGAAATCAGTATATTCATCATCTTAGGTTTCATTTATTGGTCAGTGATAGATAGATCAGAGAGAGAACCGGGGCATAAGTTCAGAAGTTATATTTACGTAACTAATTACGAACATTTACTTCGCATCAGCGATCGCGATTATGAACACCTATTTGCAGAATGACATACACGATATTATATAAAATAGGGCCACCAAATTATCTGAATACTTAGTCCGTACATACCGCCGCGTCGCTTGGGCTTGCAGCACGAAACAGTAGACAAAATTCGTGCAAAATCCGATTTGTTGAGGTTTGCGCGCTTCGAAACTGACGCTTCATTTTTCAATATTCCCTAATGAAATTTTTACAATGTGCTGAAAACAAAACCCTATAGGGTGCTATCGCATTACTTTTCATTTTTTCCACTAAAGTAGGCATTTCCATAAGTCTTGTGCAAAAACAAAATTCCAAACGATAGCACCCTGGGCAATTGTCTTCTGAACAAACTGTAAGAATTTCATTCAAAAAAATTTAAAAATGGCGTGTCAGCTTCAATCTCGCTGCGTCGCAGCCGCCCTAAACTAGTTTGTTGCGTACATTTAAAAACGTATGCGTTATTGGCCTAAATGATCTACAGACGAGCTCGTCTTTACAGCTTTACCTTTAAAATGAGATTTCATACGTTCCATCTGTTGTAGCCGTTACGCAAAACAGTAACGGACGAATATGAATTTTTAAAGAATGTTGACCATTCTCCTGGACTATAATTTCATACCTTTTGTTATGCTACTCTTGGTAGATGTTTTTTAATTAAAAACTGACCGCTACAGCAAATTGAAAATATAAGTTATTTCCATACCCTGCAACTTCCCTCTGGAGCAGTTCACCAATACTTCCTAGTTTTTTTAATACCTATATCAGAAAATTTTATTGGTGTCGGTTAGTGAAGCGGTGACGTAGAACAATTTTTTCTATCTCTAAATGAAGAACTTCTTCACTTACCCTTAAGAATCTATTACTTCTTCGTCTGTACAAGGTTTTTTCTGATGTTCTGGATATCCTGGTCTATCATTCACCCGGCATTGCCATGACCACATGGACTTCTGAGAGAAAATTGACTATTTTCCAACTATGGAAAAACAAGCAGTGTCGCTCTCACAATGTCACACTATTCCTCGAATGGGGGTGTAACAAAGTGCGCTCATAATCTAAATATATCTGTACAAATAACTATTATCAATTTCCATGCTTGCGCCATTTTTACATCTATTACTGTTATAGTGAATAGACTGAGTAATGTGAACCTAAACTTATCGAAAAATATCACTTTTCAGCCAGTGTTGGGTCTCCACTGCCTGATGTTTGCAGTCCCCAAATCAAAACCAGCAAAAAGGCTCATCGCTAAATACTTCACCTCCTTAGAACCTATCAAAGAAGAAGTGGAGAGAACAACAAGAATTCTATACTATATTTGCTGCATTTGTGTCATTGACACCATAGCGTTCCATTGCTTCGTGCTATTTTGCTCAGAACGAAGTATTTATAATGAAAAAGTTATTAGAGGAACATTGGGATATGCCGCTTACTACGTTTACTGCGCTTGTTTTCTTTTGGGAGCTTATGCTACTATTATACCGCTGAACTACATGATGTACATAATATTCCATTTGACGTACCAATATGGCTTCCTCAGAAAATACCTGAATGCAATGGAGAATATAGATTTACATTTTTCTCTTCTGGACAAGGCTGATTACCAGTGTGAAATACAAAGACAACTGAAGTTTTTTGTAAATCACTTTCACAGACTTAGATAGTAAGTATGTAGGCCTTTTCACGGTTGTAAACACGTTGACTAATGGGTACCATGTGCATAGTTTAACTGTTTTAAAGGAAACTGCACACCAGGCAAGCCGATCTTTAAAGTAGTTACATTTTTTCTTGCTCACATACATGAATTAGGTCATATAGCTGTAACTTCAGGTATCGCTATGTTTTATATTGGAGAACAACAAAAAGTAAACTCAGATCCCACATCCATGACAAGAAAATTGTCATATGTCAATGACATATACAGAGTGGCCTCAAGGTTGGGATTTTCCTTCACAGAGCGTATAGGTCAGGTAATAATAAGCAAGCTTTCCTGGTAACCAAACCCTTAAAATACCCGGCGTATTAAGTTCCCAAAAACTCTAAATAAGCCATTTCGATCTTGCTTCCCTCTCCTCCTACTACAAACAGTATTTGGAAACCTAAATTAAAATATTCCTCCGGCAATAAGGCAATCGATTTGATAAGTTTAATGAAAACGTATTCAAGATCCTATTGATACTTCGCGAGTGTATTCAAGTATTCAGAGTGTCAACGTTGTCCTCGATAGTTCCATCAGAGCAGCGTAGGTTTGTTTATATCGTGCAAAAGCCGAAAAGGTGGACGCAGTAGAAGACATGGACAGCCCCAAATTTAGGAAGAAGTAGACAGACTCGTGTTTTTTCTGTCAAACAGAGACAACTTCAAGCAGTAATTATAAACAAAACAGGTGACAGGGCAGTACTTGAAATGCCGTACCAAATATATAGTGAGTGTTTTTCTTTTTGATGTTTCCGGTGATGTTTTACCGCAAATTAACTTTGTTCTTTCAAACGGCCTTGTTTCTGAAAAGTCTCAACTTTCAAGATGCCCTCTATAAATATCGAAGACGATAACATTTTCAAGACGGTGACTCAAAAGTAAAATACGTATGTCTTTGAGCTTAAATAAACAAACACCCGCCCAGAGAGGCCGATGACATATGTATGTGTGAGGGATATGGATGTATAAAAGTAATTCATGTAGTTTTACGACACGACAAACAATCGTGAAAAGACCTATAGTTTGATTTATACATAAAGGGCGCTAAAGTTACCGCTCTAAAACATAACGGAGTCCGTTAAAGAACAGTGGTACATAAGGCCAAGAAAACCCATCAACAAAGTACACTTTGTGAATGAAGCTAGTTTTTTATATTCAAGGGTTCACCATTATAATTACAATTTTTTCTAGCGTCACTAAAACTGCGTTAACGGAAGTTGCCCAAGGAACCGTGATAGTATTGTATATCTGCGCTTGTGTAGTGTTCGTAGTAAATCTTTACACAATATCTTCAAGCGATGTAAGTAACTTGAATGAAATATCTAAACCATTGCATATACGTTCTACAAACGTCTATGCATAGACTACGCATGTCGATGCATTATAACTAATTCTGGCAATACATCTTATTCGTCACATGTTTTTACAAAGTCATCGTATGTACAACGTTTCTAAAGTTTTATGAAATAGTTACAATATCAAATCGGTTGTGGAGGCTCCTCTAGTATAGCTGCAATAATTTGTTCACATGTTACCCAGTTGAGAAAATTGACAGATAGAATATAATAATTCTAAATGTTTGTCTGATTGTTTCAGAAACCAATAGAGATACAAATTTCACTACTAGCTTTACTTGGAATATCCTCTCTCTTTGTTGTTTATATCCACTGTGGGCAACTGTTGGAAGATGAGGTAAGTAAACTGCTCATCAACTCCATACTTTGGAAATGATTTTCTTCATGTGATAAAAAACGTCCATATTTGGCAAACTGTTTGATACTACTAGCGACACTGAATGTTCATACGTTAATCACGAGGACCAGAGATAGGAGGTTATACTGCATATATTTGTATAATAAAGGCAATCCTGTCGCCAAGTATGGTGAAGCTCTCGGAAATCTAACCGCCGCAATCTTTATGTCCATTTCATTCAGGAGTTATTATATCAGCCGTTCCTGCTGATATGCCAGGAATAATGCCGACGGCGACGATGCTACTAATTTCCTAGAAGACCTAGAGTTAACTTTATTGTTCCCAATACATTTTACAGTCAGTCAGACTGCCTTTGTACTGTTAACATCATAATAATATTGTAAGAATTTTGTAAAAGTACATTTCTGAGTTTTGGTATTTTCGAAAAATAAACTTTTTTGAAAAGCGATCCCAAATCATCGTTTTGCCATGCTTTGTAGGTTTACTACTCCATGGTTTATTGATATTATTTAATATTTCTGCTAGCAACTCATCTGAATCGTCAAAATTGGAGTTATAGAACGTGTAGAACCTGAAATTCATTTGCTACGCAGTGTACCAACTCACTTCATCGACGAAACTTCAGATCAGTTTAACCTCCTATCTCTAGTCTTTATGGGTAGAACCGATATTATTTTCATGTATTTGGCAAATGACAGATTTCCTTTTCAGAGTACTATGTTATACAATGATGTGTATAATGTTCCTTGGATGTACTGGAATAAAACTAACAGAAGATCGTTGATCATTATTCTTGCTAATACTGCTAAACCTGTCAATTTATCCTTCTACGGTCTGATTGTAGTTAACTATCATCAACTTGTCCAGGTATAAAAACAACATATCCCTGAACAAAATATAAGGTGACATACACATTAACATTTGTGGCTCGAGTCATTTTACGAACCTTTGATTTTGTTCAAAAAATTAGGCTTAAAATACTATACTCTATTGAAGAGGATTCCAGAACGATTTGATCAGTTCAGTCAGAGACACCGATCAATGTGTGGTCTTCAGGAAAAAACATAATCATCAAGTTCTAACTTCTATAAGTTCACTGGATTGGAAAGTACATTTTGAAGCTTAACATCTTCTAAATTTTTTTTCAGGCATTTAAGTTGTGCTACACCATATCAACTGCTCTTAGTAATATCAACTTCCGCTGAACAACATACGACACCTAAACAGCTGAAGCATCATCAGATCTTATACTATAACCAAGCACCGAAAACATTACTTCTAATAATAGAATTGTGATCACAAATTCAATTTTCAACCTATAATAAATATTTAGTCGACTTGCATTGCTTAATTTGACTTTTGCTTCTTTCTTTCCGGTACATTATCCTTCAATGGAGTGACTTTAAATTAAAGCCTCGGAACCCGGTACCACTGGATGGACTTTAGGAATTTATAGTGGAACGCGTTTAAATGTATATTTCAAATTTTACACATTTATTTTGGCCGTTTTTGATTTTAGATTTTTTTTAAATTATTGTTTTGTGTATGCGGTTACTTAACGCCTCATTAAACAGATACGTTCATTTGAACTTATGTATTTCTACGGGTCCGTTTCTGGTTTCCTCTAATATTGATATTTTTAGTTTTTCTAACATCGACTGATTTGGATGGAACTCTGTGAGTCGACGGTAAGCAATTTTTATACAGTCCAAAGTACATCGGTAAAAATGGCGCCAAGTAGATTGACTCTGCATTTCCCACACAATGGTGTCAAATCGTCAAGGATTATGTTCGGCCCAAGATAATCTCTTTGGGCTAGCTACATATATGTGTAACAAACAAAAATTAATCACATCGTCCCGATCGACCGCGTGTTTCGTCTATATAAGTTATAAGGGCAAATGTATGGGAAAATATTTGATGTGTGAAATATGTACTGATAGGAGCGTAAGATTACATAGGCTGGAAGCGTATAAATATACCGCCTCCAATAAAAATGAGATATACTTTCCCCCATCCCCTGACTTTCAACCCCTACAAAATTGTTTTGAAGATGATTAGCAGTCTCTGAAACGCTAAAAACGAACTACGAGCGTTCTTATTTTTTCCTGTTTTTACTCCTATCTCACCGCCACTGGACCGATTTTCTAAAACCACAAAGCTTTATCGTCCGTAGTACAGTAGTAACTTTATGTGAAATTTTGATCCAAATCCGAGCAGTATGGGCGGTCCAAAGATTAGCGAACAGACAGAGCGACGTAGGTGAGCTATATAGGTTTTTGTGATGTAATATCCTAAAGCCATATCTCATTTTACTAACTTTTTCGCGAATCAATACTTTCTCCTCAGTAGGCGAGGTGAGCTCTTTGTGAATTTGTTTAGAGCACCATAAACTACGTAAAATTTGTTCACCAGCAAGCGTTTCTGCTGATGGGCTTTAATTAAATGCATAATATATTAAATTGCTAAAATTTGAAACAAAATGACCATCATCACCCGAAATAGTAATCAACTGTTGCGCTGACCCGTAGAGTTTCCATTAAATATCCTATCATAGAGCTTCCTAAAATACATACTACAACAGAACAGGCAATGCTAAATAATAGATTGTACAGCACCCTAATTTGATGTCAGGCAAAGCTATATCAGGGGTGTGTAAACAACACCTTATATACTCACTCCTCATTTTTATATATTTTAATTTGGATGCGACTTAGTGTTTCAATTTATTTTGGAATTATCTTCGATTTCCACCGATGGTTATAAAATCAACACATCCTGAGTTATTGTTACAGTTTGCGACAAATACCATTATGCAATACAAGCTGCGTGTACGCAGATGAAAACCATTTCGAAACACGACGACACTCTCCAATAGAGAGTTAGATGGATACTGAGCAAAATCACTCCACTATGATCATGGAGGTGGAAACCTTGCCTTGGAATGTACAAGATGCGGTGTGATCAAACAAACCAATGATGCAATGTTGCAGAATTTGTGGCGATCCTGATCCATTGAGACATAAAATGGAAAGTCGCCAGGCCGATCCGGATTCGATCCTAAACAGATTCGACAAAATTCAAAAATGTGTACACTCAAAATAAAACCATTTTTGAGCGTATAGAATCAACCAACGTATATTTTCAACATAGATCTTAATTCAGGGAATTGTTGTAACATATCGGCAACGGAGGATCAGCTTCGCTATACAGCCGGCATCTATCTCTTTTTTTAGCACATGTGTGTCTATACACACTTCTCTCTCGCACACATAGAACCAAAGTCGTCAGTCAAACTATGACTACTATATATACGAGTATATATATACAGGGTGTTTCAGTTTATTGTTGCATAACTTTAAGATTCGATAGAACTTTTAAAATTAATGCATAAAGTCTATATAAACATGGGTCGAAAAATGCGTGGCTTCCGAAATACAGGGTGTTTAAATTTACTTTCTAAAATAGTTTTTTTTAAATATTTCGAACAATATTTGATGTGAAAATTGGTATACAAGGGTTTTTTGGTACGACAAAACGAACCATGGGCATAGTTTTACTGTAGCCGCTAGAGGGCGCTCTCTACTGTACACTGTAGTGTATTAAAATGACCGAAATTTTTTTCTTAATGCAATTTTTTGCTTTTTGAATAAAAATACTGATTCTTCGCACTTTTCAACATAAAAAAGCTCTCCTGTGAGTTTTCGTTATAGTTTGCCGTTTTTGAGATATCTCGATTTTTAAATTTCGATGCATTTTTAATTATCTATGATAAAATAACGTTAAAAAGTCAGTACCTCGATAATTTTTAGAAGTAGGCTGTGCCTGCAAATATTTTTGAAATTGAAAGCAGAATAAGGTTAAACGTCAATTAAAAGACAGTTAGTTTTGTTGTCTGTTGAAACCTGAAACGTTTTTTTGCAATTGTGAATGCACGAAATTTAGTTTCTTTTACCTGTTTTTTTAAGTTTTATAAAAATGCCATTTTTATTCTCCAATCAAGAGTTAGCGGATATTCATTTTGTGTATGGCTTTGTAAATGGAAACGCAGCAGAAGCAGCCAGAGAATACGCACGAAGATTTCCAAACAGACGACAACCAACTCGCTCAGTATTTGTAAGAGTGCATCGCCAGATAATTGAAAATGGTTTTAGAAATCTCCAAATGGATCAAAACATAAATGTTCGTCAGCGCAGATTTACCCGTATGATTCTGCGTGAGTTTGATAGAGATCCGATCACAAGTATTATGAGAGTTTCTGGTGCCTTGGGAATTTCAGCAAGCCATGTTCACCGTGTTCTTAGAAATGACCAAAGACGTCCTTACCATTTGCAACCTGTGCAAGGACTACAGCCAGGGGACGGAAATGTAAAAAAATATTATTTTCCCATAAATAATTAAAAATGCATCGAACCTTAAAAATCGAAATATCTCAAAAACGGCTAACTATAACGAAAACTCACAGGAGAGCGTTTTTATTATGAAAAGTGCGAAGAATCCGTATTTTTATTCAAAAAGCAAAAAATTGCACTAAGAAAAATTTTTTGGTCATTTTAATACACTACAGGTACAGTAGAGAGCGCCCTCTAGCGGCTACAGTAAAACTATACCCATGGTTCGTTTTGTCGTACCAAAAAACCCTTGTACACCAATTGTCACTGTTATACATCAAATATTGTTCGAAATATTTAAAAAAAACTACTTTAGAAAGTAAATTTAAACACCCTGTATTGCGGAAGCCACGCATTTTCCCACCCATGTTTATATAGACTTTATGCATTAATTTTAAAAGTTCTATCGAATCTTAAAGTTATGCAACAATAAACTGAAACACCCTGTATACAGTGCTTTTCTTTAATGCCCCCCTCCCTTTGATTTTTTGAACGGATCAAT